GAAGGCAATGCCAGTATTTACGAATACCGTATCAAAATGAAAAAAAACAATTTTTAATGACAGACATTTTAGGCTTTTTTGCTTAAAAATACTTAATCATAGCAATTTTCCCTCTTGAATTCGATAGGTTGCAACCGAGGGGCTGGAATTGGCATAAACATGTGTGTTATGACGATTATAAATTAAGAAACCATAATAAATTCCGATGATCCCTGGACACGAGCAATTTTCTTTATCTGTTAATGCTTATTCGTTACTCTTTGCTAATTGCCTAAAAGGTGAATAAGTATGCATTAATCTATGACGATTACTTAATATTAGTACAATATAATATAATCATATTGCAATAAAATAATAATACTACCATATAATAATATCGTAAATACTATGAAATGGTATGCAATAAAGATACGGAAGATAGACATTTGTAAAAAAATTAAATGAGATGGCTATTTTGAGATTCAAATTAATGCATACATATATTTGTCTTATATGAAATTGACTGTCAACTGAATGGGAAACCGTCTTCTCATGCCATCGTGGATACTAAATTAGAATATGACTTTGCGTTCAATCTACTTGCAACCTGATGGACAAGGATTGCCAATGCCCAAACGGCAATTCTGTTGGGCTGGCTCATGTAGGGCGCAGAACGAGATGAATCGAAACTTAAAAGAGCCTGTTCCACAAATGTTCCTGACATTATTACCTCAAAATAATGTAAAACTTGTTGATATATAAACATCTTACCTCAAGTTTGGATTTTATTTCCATCTCTTCTTTCAACCGCTTCTGAAAGATGACTTGTTCTCTTCTCATGCGCTCAATAGTACTGAGTAGTTCGTCGATTCTGTTGAAGTAAAGAGAAAAAAAATTTTAACTTCTAGAGCATCAAAGATTAAGATCAAAAAATACACTATAAAGCATTTTTGGCTAAAGCAGGTATTGTAAAGAAGGAGAACTAAATTGGTCCGATTTTTATAGACAGCGAAGTACTGCTCGTAGAATTGGAATAGCCGAATCCTGCAATGGGCAATGCTGTAGGCTGGGAATTCCATTTTTAAGCAGTGAGCACGGCTTTTATAATCCAAAATGATAAACTTTGTGTTTGTTACAATACCTTAATTAAACCACATGATCTTCTTACGACATATTCCTCTAAAATAACAATCCATGTTCCAGGTTATAACAAATATTTAAGGGTTTTTACTATCACTAAATAAAGTTCGGATGGCAAAAATATATATTTTTTAGTGACTCGCCAACGGTGAGTCCACAATTACCATAACAGTTGCATTTGCTCTATTGTATTTAAGCTATTTTATAAGCGAAACATAATTCAAAAAGTAGCAAAATTGTCTTATTTATTTGAGATTTTATCCACTTCATATATTAACAAATTGATTTTGAAATACAAGCTTATCACCAAAAAAATCCCGAATAAAACTTATAATTTGTCAACTCAAAAAAGGATATTGTGCCCGTATTTTGTTCAGACATGAACAACCC